TCAAACGGTTCCATTCCATTCTGTTTGAGCAGTTTGAGGTATAACCCACGGAATCACGATATCAACTTTCTTGAAAGGCCGCCCGGACCGCTGCCATTGTGGGACTTTATAAAAGTCCGGGACTGAGTCCGGTCCGGTTTATTTATAACTCAGATTTCTGCTAAGTGAATTTCTATATACTTGTATTCTTATGCCGGGGCCATTACGGTTTATGATTTTTGTAGGGGGCTTAAAGGATAGAGGCATCCGGAGCGATTAGGGATCTCGGGAATAAAAGTTCGCCTTCATTCCTGATGCATTGTCGGGTAATAGGTTTTGGGGGTACGTTATTTTTTTAAAATGTCCCGCTCTCCTGAAAGGGGAGCGGCATAAAATTTCTTAGACTGGAGTTATGTAGTTTAAATGATAAAAAGTATAGAGCGATTTTTCTTCCAGAAACACCGGACTAAACCGGCCCTTCGGCATATCAACTGGACACTTCATGAAACAATCCGCAATTAATTATGAAACTTCTACCTGTTCCAACCCGTTTTATTTTTAAGTGAGATGAAGAGGCTTAAAGTTAGATTTATATTAGGATATCGCTCGGAGTATAAAGCTTACACTTGTGTCAGGCATTAATTAAAAGCTTAGTACCTCTTCATTCCTAGGAACTACCCGACGTTCATCTCTTAATATGAGCACGGTCTCGCAGGGAGATCACAGAGCCCGAAATAAAACTCTACTGTCCAGAGATTAGCGGTGATCCTTGCTTTATAGTGTATTCAAAGGTAATGCTGTTTGATAAACTCCTGAGTCAGATTGGAGCAGTTCTTGTAGTTTTTTAAACCCTCTTCCATTCCAAACATTGTCGAATTAGGTAACTAAAAGGTATTGGATGAAAATAGAAAAGTTATTTACTTATCTACCAGAAGCGTGTTTGCTAATTATATTTTGCGTGTTAAAACTCTAATATTTTTTTCGGAATCCCGAAAATTAGATTCGAACAACAATATATAACAAGGTAGTAGGCGTCGATTTGCTTTTCCATTAAGGGCGTCTTTGTCCGCATAATTAATTCGAGAGAACAAGAGTGAGCGTGGCAAAGAAATCTCCTGCTATAATACAATAATAAAGAGTTCTCGGCAGGCGTGCATTCTGAATTTGGTTATTCAGATGAGCGGTGGGTCTGTTTGATAATTCGGGCCAGCAGCCGGAACTGCAGTGGCGAATTTTTACCGCTGGAAATAACAATAATGAAAAAAGACATTGTCTCGAATTTATGCCGGAGAACAAAATAGTAACATTTTTTATTTTATAAATGAAACAATTTTTTTAAAAAGGCGGAAAGTTACTGCCCTACCTTCTCCTTTGTTTTTGTCTTTGACTTTGTTCGTCAAATCATGTTTGTGGGCAAAAATAAAACGAACTCTTAACAGCTCAGTTAATAAAACTGAAACAGGAATACTAATTCGTGAACAAAGACAAAACCACCTTACGAAACGCTTTTTATTGCACAACTGAAGTAAATTCTTCAAAAAGAGAAAGGGAAGTGACTCTTTTGTATAAAACTGGAATGGTTTACAAATTTTTATTAACCAAACTAAAAACAAGATATTAGAAACATCTTTATTGAACCGAAATAGGATGCAGAGGAATATTTTTGTAACGTACGATATCATAAAAAAAACAACGCGAAAAAAATCAGGAACAGTCCCTCAAGAACTTCCATCACTTATCCAAGTAAAATGGTTTTTTGGAAAGGGTAGAGAAAAGTTACTACTCTCCTTGTTTTTGACTTTGTTCTTCAGAAAACGTCCTGGAACAACTGTAAAATGATGCATTAAATTTATTCCTGAAAATAAAATTTCAGGAACAAAACTTAAAACAGAAAAGTTTTTATTAAACAGAAAGAATATAACAGAAAATTCTTATATATACAGTGTGTCCCGTTTTTCAGGTTAACACCTCTGGAAATGGGAGAACGCTGTGAACTTTCCGCAAGCCAATTTTTTTACAGAGAATACCCTAAAAGGAAGTTATATTTTACTAATCATTTTGTTGATGTGACAAAAGCCTGGCCTACTACGATTTTTTAAAAAGGTCAGTTTTCCAGAAAGTGGTATTAGGTATTTTTTATCAAAAAAATAATATTACCAGGCTATTCAACATCCATCAAAATATCTACATACAAAATTTGAACGACAAATGTCTATTGAGTGTTTTTTTATGTGGTGCCAAACTTCGAAAAATCAAACAACTAAAAATTATAATAAGCAGGTCAACGATTGCCATGAAAGTGAAAACAAGTACCAATCGGACAAAGACAAAATATAGACACTATAAATTTAACACTTTAAGAACAAAATGGAGAAATATTTCTAGAATTTCAATCAATTTTTCATTGTTTAAATGACTACAGCTTCTAGAAGTATTTGAGGAAAGTTACTGCCGTTTTTCTACATACTTTTTGACTTTGTTCATACAATTTTGATTTGTCGCAAAAAACAAAATCAAATTATAGACCTCAAGACCAAATAAATCAAATTTCAAGATATATCCACTCGCTTTTGTGTAGATACTACTAGTACTATTTGTTTATATTATCTTTCACTTGTAAGTACGACTTTTCTTTGCTTTATGGAATCTCGTGAAAGGAATACAGGCTTTCCTTTTAAAAGTACATTTCATTCGGCGTAACCTCTGCCGTCTTAAAAATTATTCACTCCCGACCGACAGAAACAAGATTTTAACGACGTTTGCACGCTTCCGGGAACGCGCAAATCAAATTTGCGGCTCGCATTGAACTTAAGACGACATTCCATCCGGAAGACCCAAACGAAGTAACGAAGTCAGGACGACGTCTGTATTTATTCTAATTGCACATGCTCCCGCTAAGCAAAGCGTCGAGAAAGCTCCGTGCATAGCTAAAATGTATTTTCGGTACGCGGAATAGTAACAAGGAGGTGCTTATAGTCGTTACGGATAATAGTTGCCGTTTTAACCTACCAAAAAAGTTCTCTAATCGCTCTGGATATAATTACTTTTTATTCCCGATAAAAGTATAATTTTTTACAGATAACAACACAGTATAAACGACCGTTTCGGATATTCTTAAAGGCCTCATTGTTTTAAGTAAGCAAAAGACTTTCCTATACCAAAATTCGTTGAAATATCTGAAAACCAACGAAGTTACCTTAAAAAGGTGAATTAAAACAGTTATTTTTTATTCTAAGTTGAAAATTACTGCCTCATACAAAATTATTTCGTTTCGAAGTTGTTCTTAAAATACCACTAATCTTCTTTGGGACATCCTGTATATGATTTGATTTTACGAACTGGTACTTTTTAATTCTAAATCTAATATTTCTTACATTTAAAAATTAACAAAAGCTGTTGCCAGCGCCACCAATGTATACTGCTAGCAAACCAAGCAAATATCCTATACAGAAATCATCCTAACACTGGACACATTCGCGAAACAGTCAGTAGATGGCGCCATAGCCACAGTTTCCGAAAGTATTCCTGCTCTCTTAAACTTCCCAGTTCGTCAACATGTCCCTGGGTGGCGCCAGCAGTCACGACTGCCGGGTTTCCGCTGAGGGCGAAATCATACACAGGCACTTATTTACCAAAATTTATTCACGTATGGGGAATAAGCAAATAAATCCAATCCTCGAATGGACGATAAACAAAATTCCCTCGGAATTTATGGAGGTTCAAGACGTGGAGGCGACCTAAATCGGAATTTCCTGCAAAGTAAGCAGGTATATTAGCGGGAAGGGTTGCGATAAATTGGTGTATTTGTATGTCGCAGGAGGCTGTGAGCGTTATCGAAACCCGGAGGGAGAGGACCGAATGTCACAGCTGTTAATGTTCCTGCAGCCCCGCTACAGTCCTGAGAGGGTTTTTGATGCTGTAATAGTAGTTGTGTAATTTTACTGCTACTGCTGGAGCCAATAAGGTTTGAAGGGTATGTGCAAGCGGCTCTTGGTGGTGTACGGGGTGGGCTCAGTGAAAATTCGAAACGATGTAATCGACGTTCTAGGTTTTTGGAATTGTTGCCCACGATTATGCTAAAAAATTACATTTTTGTAACGTTTGTGACCAACTGTGCACGCTCTGAGGTGTCAAAGTCAAACTCACATAATAAAAGTGTAGATCCCTAGATCTGGGCAACATGGGTAATAAATTTAAACATTTTTAACTTACAGTATATTGTGCATAATTCAATTCTAAAACTTTTTTCCATTTCAATATTCATCCAAAATGCATAAGTTCCAAGATATAAGTAAAAAACTCCGATAAAGTAGATATTTTTTAAAATTTACTACACTTTTGTAATTTTGAAAATGTTCCGGACTTCGCCCAGATCTAGGGATCTACACTTTGATTATGTGAGTTGTACTAAAGGTATTCCAGCAAAAATTAGCTTCCACATCCAAGAATTTACCAATTCTTTATCCAAATTATCCAAAGAATTAATTAAAGAATAACGCATCACATCAATTAGTTCGTAATATGACATATAGATGGCGCCAGTATTGACACATCCATATGATTTTTAGGAGGTATTGACCCAAGGATTTTATACAAGAGGATTGCTCGATCCCATTTAAGCCTATGTTCGCCAAATAAAATGTCAAACGCTCGAATACGTGACGTCACTACGTTACCTTCGTGCTATGTTTACATATGTAAAACGGCTCATTTTCCTTACTTTCTGTGTGGTTTTTGTGGATTATTGTTCGTTTAGAGGATTTATCGTCACTGTTATTATTAATTAATTGGCGTTATATACGTAGTTTGTTGTTGTTAGTTCTTGTTAACTTATTAATATAGTTCGTTATAATTGTGTTACTGTTTGTGTTTGTGGTAGTTTAGTGTTCAGAGACTTTAAAGCCTGTAATAGAGTTTTAATTTTGCTCAGAAGGTAATAAATTTAATATATTTTTTTAGGCATGTATATAAATACTTAAATTTCTTAATGTTTTTATGTTAATCTTTAATTAAAAAAAAAGATGCCTGGTCTTCGATGTGCAGTTTATGGCTGTAATAACAGTTTTGTTGGGGTAAAAGCCAAAGGGGAAGATATCAAATTTTTTCCATTTCCAAAATCTAATAATTTAGTTTCACAAACAATTTACAAGGAGTGGATAAATCGTTGTAACAGGCAGGACAGTTTTAATCCGAATCATAGCCGAATATGTTCTATTCATTTTACCAGTAATGATTTTGAGAGAGACCTGAAGAATGAACTTTTAGGTTAGTATATATAACAAGTAATACTAGGTTTCTTTTGATTTAATGAAAATTACTTAAGTAATGTGTTTTTAGGATTACCTACAAAAAAAATGTTAAATAAAATGGCTGTTCCCACGATGCATTTGCCACTTCAGAGTAAAAAAATGTGTACTTCATCCAGAGAGAAGAGACTATTAATCCATGAAAAAAAAGCAGTTGTGCAAGAAATTTTAAAACAGCAACACAGAAAATATACCTGAAACTGCAGTTCCTTCTACTTCTGAAACTAATCTGGAGTTTAGTGTACTTCCTTCTTTTGGTATGTCGGTGTGCTCTTCAACATGTACAGATTATGAGAATTTGTACAAAGAGCTTTCTGTGAAATATAATACTCTAATTTCAAGGTATGCAGAACTTAAACGTTCTAGTACAAGCAGAATAAAAGCGTTAAATGATCAACTGAGATATTATAAAGATAAACAGTGCCGTGCTTTGATTACAAAATCAAAAAACAGATCCCTCAACAGCTCTATTAGAAAAAGTTGTTTTTTTTAATACAAATATGCCTATCTATTGTATTTCATATTATTTTGTGAATGCAAATTAAAATAAAAAATTAGTAAGGTATATCAGTTTTTTTTCTGGACCTCGTTAAAAATTTTCAAAAGTATGCGGACTCTGCTTAAAATTACTTGCCTACCCCTGGTTTAGGTGCTTAATTCAACTGTAATAACTTTTTTAGAAGTGCATAGTGCTATTTTAATAGAACTTCAAAATTTACTACCCTAAAATATATAAATCAAACAATAAACAAAGAAGCAAATGTTAGCCTCACGCAGCGCTCCCATAGATATAAGCCATGCTAACTGTAGGTCCTGCTCGTGAAAGAATATGCTATTTTACCGAGTGCGATTTTATCCTTTCCAATAATTAATATTTTTCCTATCAATTTTGAATATTTATCCTTACTAATAACTCATAGGTTGTACGAGCAGCGATATTCAAAAGGTAGGTATGTGTATTGTAATTCAAACAAAAGTAGTAAAACGACAATCTTTGTATATTATATTTTTGGTAACTTTTTTAACTCCGTTCCCTATTCTTTATTATATCTAAAAAATAGTATATTTCTAAGTAAACGGCTACAATATTTCTCTAATCCCTGTGCAAATTAAACCACCTAAATATTCTAATATTGTAGGGACATATCACTATTTTTAATGTCTGTTTAATTATTTGTCAATATTACTAAACATAATATGTTTTTAAAGAATAGGATAATTTTTCCTTTCAGTGTTAAAGTTCCCACTAAATTGGAGGTAACATAATGACGTCACACAACATAACCTAGTTTCGCGGAAATAAGTTTGTTATTAAGCAATCCTCTTGTATAAAATCCTTGGTATTGACCTACTACTTGTCTAAACAAAACCAGAGCGTTCAGTCCGAATAACACTTGTCAAGTCATTGCTTTTCTTGAACGGTATTTTTCCCCATTAAAAAGCAATACTTTATTAATTCACGAAACTAGAGTTTTCCATTAAATAAAACAATACCGTCACTAAAACTACTGTAACTTGTAAACTAAACATCAGATTGTCATGCAATTTTAACACGTGTCATTTGAAGGTTAATATTTGTTAAAAATCGTATGGATTTGTCAATAGTGGCGTCATCTATATGACATCCTACGAACTTATTGAGTTAAGTGTTATGTTATTCATAAATTATTAACATTTCTAACAATAGAACAATAAATGTTAAAGAAAACTATCGTGTCATGATGAATTTCTCATTCTGTTCCATTTTATTGTATAAATTTTGTTGGTTAAAATTAAATTTATGGTTAGATCCCAAAGATCCTCAAGTGGAGGACACTTTTTACAAATATGTATGTATGAAAAACATGCATAAATAAGGCAGAGGAATTTTGTAAAAACAATCAGTTCTTCATTTTGAGAAACTTGCTTTGACAATGTTTTCCGATGTCTCATACAAATGGCACTTTGTTGAATAGAATCAAATTCTACGGATTTTGAAATCTATGTAAATTTTGTTCCTTTTTGAACACCATGATTTTCGCTTATATTTCGAATAAAAACAACAGCACTCTAGACCCCGATACCCAACAAATCGACAAGGCTGGCTCCGCAGAAATGGAAAATCGCGCATATCAACCGGACTTAGATTCAAGGGGTCGCAATAAATCGCAGTATTTGTGGGTCGCGAGGTTACGGTCCTTTATCGGGACCCAAGGTGGGTTTCCGGCCGCCATTTGCAGGTGGCGCAGCTGCTAATGACCCCAGCTCTGCAGCCGCATCCTGAATATATACGAGGAATAGCCGCCGCGATAGGATCTGCTGATATACTCTGGGAAATGTTTGCGGAAACGGCTCCGCCGCCGCCGCAATCCATAGGTGCGAAATTGGCGAAATTTAATCCCCGATGGTGAGTAGACAGGGGCGTAGGAAGGGGGATTTGCTTACACCCGCCCAAGTCATCAAACGAACCTTAAACGTTGGACTTGCCGAGTTAAAATGACATTTTGTCTCGTTAGATTTTCCGGGGTAAGGTGTGCGACGAAAAAGGGCGGGCACGCCACTGACGTTACTCGCAAAGGCAAAGCTACACCACAGAAAGTTATAATTACAAACACGTATTTATCAATTCCAAATTATAATAAAACTTTATTGAAACCAGCGCATACCTAATGCAACAATCGTTTCATTACCGATGCTTATTGCGGATATTCCAATAAAATTACCTTTGTGCTTATTTTAATATATTAATTTTCAGTTAATACGTCAACAAGTTTATTAATGTTTAATAAAATTCATATCTATCGAAATTAAATGAAATACAATTTATTTTGCTACAAACGCAGCTTTTCTGCTTCGCGCGCTTGCTTTGCTTTTTATATGAAAAGAAAAAGCTGTATTCCAAAACTAGTCTCATACATCCGTTCTGCGGTCGTAGCATTTTGTCACTGCTCGCCGTGTGTCAACAAACAAACGAGTTATTACATAACGCAGGCACAAAACCTTCCGTTTTTCGCGACAGCAACCTGGATCCACCCCAAACAGATAACATCGATTTTCCATATGCACATCCTTAAATAAATTGCCAATACGTCTCGGCGCGGGGGAACCAATAAAGAATTTTTTTAATAAACATGCCACTCATGTGTTAAGCGGCCTACGGCAAACGATGAATGTTTCTCCCCGAAAGAGGAGCGGAATAAATGCCTGAAGTATTGAAATTGGGTGGCTCCGGGCGGGCAGAGGGGGGGACCAAACACGCGATTCCATATAAGAAAGCATCGGTGAAAGGCGGGATGCTCGGGGGACCAGTCAGGTGGAAACCGCAACCTTATTGTAAGACTCATTCGTCCCAAAATTGATTTTCTATCTGCTCTTTAAGTACCCATTCACGAACAGAGCGTATTCTTTAGCTTCTACGCGAAAATAACAATATTCTCTCCCATAACATTGTAATTTCCAAAATTTTAATAATAAACATTGAATATGCTCGATTTAATATGGAATAAACGTACGTTTGTGTTAGTTAAAAGTAACAACAGCCTCAGAACAGGGTCTTGAGTAATTCTAGAAGTAGCTTCGACTGAAAACCACACCGTAAACATAATTCACAATCATCTATTAAGGAGGACGAATAGTGGCCCCAGAACTGAACCCTGAGAGACTCCTGAAATAGCTGTAACGTCAGCCGTCTAATAATGCATGGTGAGACACATACAAGGTCATTTACGTAATTTATGTAGCTCGGAAATTGCAGTGGCCTCGGAAACGAACCTTGAGGGACCGTACAGTTGACTGCGACCTCTGGAAGACGCCGGCGGTTAAATTTTTTCAGTGTCTATCGCGCCTCCCGATGAAATATGAAACGGAGACGACCCCCAGCCGCCGAAGCCGCAATAAAACAAAAATTTGGATGCACGAAAAAGCACTATCCATCTCCCGGGCCCCAGAGATTTATCCGCAGCCTAATTTAAAAGAAAACTCGTTACGAGCGGCTGGCAAGCCGCAGCGATTCCCCGGAAGGCGGCATAAAATATGACGCGTCAGTATGTAAGAGGCAGTACATTTTGAAGTTATCAGTTACATAAGCCGGGCTTATTAGGTGGTAAAACGTCGCCGGAAAATAAGAAGGCAAGAAACGGTTACTATTATTGTTTTGTCGGGATGAAAGACCGCGAAGGATCGCCATTAAATGAAATTTTTATAAATAATAAAATTCAATACAGTTCACCCACTCAGAATGCCGCGAAGGGGAGGATGGCAATAGCTGGCATAGCTCGTAATAACGTATATTATGAGATTAGAGATAAAAAAAATACATAAAATTGTGATTTCGCTTTTATAAACCGATAAAATATACGACTGTAATAAAAGGTTTTTTTGGGGAGTGTTTTATTTGTTCGCAGAAAGGTTTAACAAACATGTACGTATTGAACGTTTTACAGTTAACAGCTATAAGGTACTGTAACGTATGATACGTGCTTTACAGTCGACTATAAACTATATAAAAGATTAACGTACAACATGTAGTTATAGTCAGCAGTAGATGACGACTATATTGTACGTTCTTGTTCTTTTTTCTGTGGTGTAACGTACAAAATGTGCATTACAGTTAACAATAGACAGTTATAATATATCTATATGATATAAACGTAGATACTTTCTGACTAGAGCGAACTATAAATTGTTATATGTTTTATAGTTCACTATAGATAACGTACTATACGTACTATAATGCAAATTAAACGTTATAGTTCACTATAGAGAAGTATGATGTATGATATGTACGTATAGTTCTTAAAGATTGAACAAGTTCAATAACGTGCATTATAGTTGACAAGAGCCAAGTATAATGTACGTTCTGGTTCTTTTTTATTTGGTGTAACGTACAAAATGTGCATTATAGTCACCAATAGACAGCTATAATATATCTATATGATATAAACGTAGATAATTTCTGTGAATAGAGCGAACTATACATTGTTATATGTTTTATAGTTTACTATAGATAACGTACACGCTTTATAGTTGACTATAGATAACTATAATGCAAATTGAACATTATAGTTAAACTATAGAGAATCAGTGCCTGAGCATGTTCAGCAGTGTACGTTATAGTTATACATTTGTAATTTTCAGCCTTAGGTTCCAAATCTTATGTCTGTTGTTTATTTTGCATTTTCCTGGTTATCTGTGGGAATAAATAACGAAATATTCAAAATGCACGACAACGAAAAAGTCTTGTTTATAGCACCATAACGCATGTACGTCATACTTGTCCGTAGAAA